TACACACTCGCTCTCGCATGCTGGAAATGAACATGAGACCCACACACTGTGAATCAAAACATATTCGACACGTGTCACCCCGAAAACCGTGTGGGACAAATGAGCTGTTCCACCCATATTCTGCACGCGAACATGGGGCCACACAACATGAAACAACACAAAAGTGACACGTGTCACCCCGAAACCGCGACAGGAAACACCAATTGTTTCACTCGTAATCTGAACTCCAACATTTTCCATACAAGGTGGAACAATCGGTTCTGGACGCCGCCATGGGGCCACACAAAATGAAACAAGACAAAGATGACACATGCCACACCGGAAACCGTGACAAAAACCGAATGTTTGACTCGAGATCTGGACGCTAGCATGGGGCCAAACAATGTGAAACACTACAAGGGTGACACGTGTCACCCCGAACACCGTGTGAGACAAACAAAGTATGTCCCTTGAATCCAAGACGCCGACATGGGACCATACAATGTGAAACAGCACAGGGGTGACACATGCCGCCCCGAAAATACTGTGAGCAAAAACCAGTTGCTTGACTCGTCTTCTGGACACCAGCATGAGAGCCATACGAAGTGAACCAAGACAGAAGTGACACGTGTCATCCCGAACACCGTCTTGGAAAAAACAACTATTTCACTCGCATTCTCGACGCCAACGTGGGGCTATACAATGCGAAACAACACAAAAGTGGCACGTGTCACCAGATCAACGTGCGAACCACACAATTGTTCCACTCGTATGCCTGACACCAGCATGGGGCCATACAATGTGATACCACACAAGAGTGACACTTGTCACCCCGGAAACCGCGTGCGAGGAAAACAATTGTTTCACTCGTATGCTGGACGCGGGCGACACGTGCCACCCCTAACACCGTGTGAGAAAAGCAAATGCTCCCTCTCGTACTTTGAACCCTAGCATGGGGCCATGCAATGTGAAATAACACGGGAGTGACACGTGTCAACCCGGACACTGTGTGAGAAAAACGAGCTATTACGCTCGCATTCTGGACGCCGACATGGGGGTATACCAATGAAACAACACAAGTGTGACACGCGTCACCCCGAACACCGTGTGAGAAGAACCAATTGGTTCACCCGTAATCTGGACGCCATCATTGGGCCATGCAATGTGAAACAACACAAGGGCGACACGTGTCACCCCGAACGCCGTTTGAGAAACACCCGTTGTTTCATTCCAATTCTGGACGCCACTATGGGGCTATACAGTGTGAAACAATACAAGGGTAACACTTGCTACCCTGAAACCGTGTGAGAAGAAAATTAACCCGGCGCGACCCCAATTAGGGGAAAGCCTATTGCATGGGCGCATCGATTGGCGCATCGCTTGGCGCATCGCTTGGCGCTGCTTGGCCTTGCTTGGCACTGCTTGACATTGCGTGGCACTGCTTTGCACGGGCTGGCACTGCTTTGCATTTTTTTGGCGTTGCTTCGCATTGCCTGGCACTGCTTGAAACTGCGTGGCATTGCTTTGCATGGGTTGGCATTGCTTTTCATTTTTGGCGATGCTTGGCGTTGCTTGGCACTGCTTGACATTGCGTGCCATTGCTTTGTGAATTGGCATTGCTTTGCATTGATTGGCGTTGCTTGGCATTGCTTGCCATTCCTTTGCAATGACGGAAGCCCGAGAAACCAGAGCGGGAACCCCGAAGAACAACATGAAGTTACATGATCAGGGAAGCCTGGGAACCAAAGGAACCTCCGAGGAACGGGCAACGTAAGAATACGAGGCACTGGGGAACGGGCAACGGAAGACTATGAGCCACCGCGGTCGAGGAACCCGAGGGACCCGGGGAACCCGAGGAACCTCCAGGGAACTGGTACAATAAGAATACCAGGCACCAACCTTTGACCAAGGAAGAAACCCTCAGGCAAGCCTAGTTGGGGAACAGTAGGAGGCACCGGACGGGGGAATCCCAGGAACCTGGAGAACCCGGGGAACCTCTTGGCAACGGGCAACGTAACAATAAGAGGCACTGGAGGCGGGGATAACCTGAGGAACCCGGGGAACCTTATGGCAACGGGCAAAGTAACAATAGAAGACACCAGCCCTGAATTAGCCAAGTAGGAAGCCCGTAGGCAAAACAAATTGGGAAACAACTGTTCCACTCGTTTTTTGGAGGCCAACATGGGGCTATACAAATGGAACAATGCAGGGGTGACACGCGTCACCTCGAAAACCGTGCGAGAAGAACCAATTGTTCCACTCGTACTCTGGACGATAACTTGGGGCCATACATAATGAAACAACGCAAGGATAGCAACGTCACCCCGAAAACCGTGTGAAGGGAAACACTGTTTCACTCGACATCTAAGGATCGAGCCCTAGGTAGCCGCTAAAGATTTCTACTGATCTGAGCCCAGGACGCCCGAAGGTTTTTCTACGCATCTCAGCCCAGGTCCCTTAGGCTTCCCGAAGAATTCAAAAGCATCCGATCGCAGATTCCGATGAATTTCCACAGCATTTCTAGGGATCGCAGCCCAGACCCCGAATTAATGGTGCCTGAAAGATTTCGAAGGATCTGAACCCAGATCCCGGGGGGAATCCCTCGGGATTTTCAAGGATCTGAACTCAAATACTTGGGACTCCCTGCATATCTCGGAGGATCTGACCCAGAATCCTTACGGAATCCCTGGGGATTTCTTGAGATCCGAACCCAAATCCTCAGAGACCCCCCAGGCATTCCGCGTAAGATCTGAGCCCAGATCCCTTGGGACGCCCAAGGGATTTCTAAAACCTTGGCCCACATCCCGGGCCCCAATCCATAGGTATTTCTCGAGCATCACTGGCGATCGGAGTCCAGATCCTTAGGAACTCCTGACGGATCCGCTCAGATCCCTCGGGGCCACCACAGGGGCCACATCCCTGAACGGGGCCTCGTTCGGAACTCCCAGATCCCCGAACGGGCCGGCTCCCCGTTGGAGCGGGCAAAGGTCCAAATCCCGTTTTGGCCTGGCTCCCCGTTTGAGTGGGTGAACATCCAGATCCCATCGTTGGCCAAATCCCGCGTCTGTCCAAGGCCCGTTTTGAGGTTCGATCCCGGGTTTGGCGTACGACCCCAACAACACAACGAAACACGACACAAACAACTAAACGACCACCTGGAACTACGGCTGGGGCTACGGCAAGGGCTGGGGCCCAGGCTGAAGTTTAGGCCAGGAACGCAACAACAATAACGGGTAAGGAAACAACGAATGAACAACAAAACGAACGCCCGGAAACTATGGCCAGGGCGATGGGCGAGATTCCGGCAAGGCTTGAACATGATTGAATGCAAGCGAGCACGAAAGGAACAACGAAACGGAACGAACGCCCAGAACTATGGCTGTGGCTACGACAGAGGCTGGGGCCCAGGCTGAAGCTCAGGCCAGGAATGCAACGAAGCAGCGGGAGCATCAACAACGAAATGAACGTCCAAAAGATATGGCCAAGGGGAAATGAACCGAAACATCAAGAAATACACTGCATTCCTACAACGCGCAATCAGAAAATCGAAGGACAACGACAGCGCGAAACAAAACGGACAACGAAACGAAGCGGAGAGTGAACGCAACAGGCAAAACGAATAACGAAACGCAACCTGGGAATGTCAGCGAACTAAAACGGACAACGAAACGCGCGCCGAACGAACAACGAAACGCGCGCCAAACAAACGCGCGTTTATCACAACAGCAATTGCACACTGCGGAACAAACGCACATAACGATACGCACAACACAAGCAAGGGCCCAAACCAAGCTAAACGGCGATTCGCTCGGTCTTTGCTGATCTGTTTGCAGGGTGTGGCGGGGAGGATACCAAGGCGGCGGATGTCCTGGGAGAGAACTACACGGGCCTGCTGACGATTGCGGCGTCGACGGTTTCAACCTGGCGCACCTCGCCCCGAGGGGGCCGTCCGCATGCACCACGCGGTGAGAGCCGACCCGCCGCCGCAGAGAAAAGACATCTCGCGATCCCGAAGCTGTCGATCGCGGGACATGCTGTTGTGCAAGGGAGTGGTGACTACCTACCAGACCACCCCAACCCAACCCGAAGACCCGATTTTCGGGTTGGGGGGGGTAAGGGTTCCACGCGTGTTTTTTCGAGGTTTCCCGACCCCCCCCCCACTCGAAATCGAGGGTACATCTGAACCTTCGGGTTGGGTTGGGGTGGTTTGGTGGGTGGTGAAGTGGGGGCCTGGCCAGACGCATTCGCTGCCTGACCGAGTCGCAGACTGCAGAAATCTGATCGGGCCTGCTCTCGTCCTCCGTGCCCGGGACCGCCGGTGCTCGGGCCTGGACACAGGGTCGTCCGTTGGTGTCCCGCGGGCATCTGTGAGATCTGCGGCCGCTACAAAATAATTTGCACAGAGGCAAGTCTGTAAAGAAGCTCAAGGATGACGGTTTTCAGGGCCGCCCAATAACCGTAGCATACTAGCCAATGTCAGGTATAGCGTCAGAGGCTGAACTCGGGTTTGAGCCTAAGAGCGGGAACCCCATCCTTCTGTACGTTGTCCGGGAGCCCGCCCCTCTTTCGGTGTTTTCCGCTCCTGGCTGACGCCTGGCCGCCCCCTGTCAACTGAATCAGGCCTCTCTGGCCTGGTTTTCTTTTTCTGGATCGACCCTCGTGATCATCGATTCGGGTGCCCTGGGACCAATTCGGACCCCTCCTGTACCCATGGGTTCGGTTGGGGCCGCTGGACTTGGAATTCCTCCTCCTCCTCCTCCACCTCCTCTAGCACGGTATCTGTCGACCCCTATCCCAGGCTTCGTGGGGTCTTCGAATGGACCTGAAGCTTTAGGTCCATCCCTGGGAGGGACGTCCATCCTCGATTGGGGTGCGTCCGAACAGCCCCCAGGGGGTGCATCCCAAGGTTTCCCTCTTTCTGAGCGGCTTCATTTTTTGTCGACAGGTCTGGGGTTGGGATGGACACATCGCAGGCGATCCTTCTCCTCCTCCTCCTCTTCCTCCTCCTCCTCCCCCCTCACTCCTGCCGGGCTGGCGCGCCCCAAGGCCTACACCCCTGCGCGACGCCCGGGCCGCTCAGGCCGTGTCAGGGGAAAACCTCGGAGACCACCTGAAAGGCCACGGGGGGGGAGGGTGAGGAATAAGGTCCTCTTGTCGGTGCGAGAAGACAGGCGGTGGCAGCATGGATACCGTCATCCACAACGCTGTGAGCAAATCGCGCGAGTAGGCCGGCAGTGGCAGCACGGGGGGTCGGTGCGACAAGGAGGACGGGAGCAGGAGGGAAGCGTCATTAGGTGCCACGCTGGGATGGACACGAGCGCGAAATGGCCGACGGTGCGCCGGTTTTGAGGGGCCACGTCAGGGGGGACTGGTATAGGGCGATGCATCGTCGATAGATCGGCGATCGGCTCCCGATAGTGAATCCGCACCTTCCTGGGCGGGTTGGGGCTATCGGGCCACTATGGGCGATCCATGGGCGATTCGGGGTCGATGCATCCCCCCCTGTGCCCATCCCCCCTATCGTTGCCCCCGAAATTTACACGATGGGCCAAAAATATAGCAGGGGGCCCATTGCCGTCCGGTGTCATGCGAGAAGGCCCTTTTGAGACCCAACCTAGCCGCCCTGGTCAGGCCTGGGGGCAGGGGACAATCAATTTGGCCACGCTATTTAGTCCTGCGTGGGTTCTTTTCCGAGGTCTGGCAAGCCAGATAACAAGTGTTCTCTTCCTCCGCCTCCTGCACCTCCTCCTCCTCCTCCTCCTCCTCTTTCTCCTCCTCTCTTACCCCTAGAGTGGGGGAGAGGATGAGAGGAGTGAGGGGAGGGAGAGGAAAGGAGAAGAGGAAAGAGGTGATGGGGGAACAGAAAAAGGGGGGAAGAGGAGACAGAGGAGGCGAAAGAGTGGAGTGAAGTGGATCAGCGATCGCACCATAATACACACAAGTGTTCAGGGTGGTGTGCACACTGAGGCTGCAGGTGGAATGGGCCCAGTCACCCATTCTGTGAATACGATCTCCCCCCACCGGGGACATTGAGACACCATCTACGTTATAGAGCTGCGGGCGCGGGGTGGGCAACCAGGCTCTCATTTAGGCCCTCGTTGCCGACCCGTCGCACCTGGGACACCTCTGTCTGCCTCTGCCTACAACGCGGGGGGATGGACAATGGAGGCGGAGACAGCAGTGGCGGCAGGAGGCAGCGGGAGCGGAGGAGCAGCAGCAGCACGGGACACTCTTTCCCTCGCAGACCCCGCGGCCTAGTGCGACGTAGCCCGAGCCGCAGCCGACGGCCCTGAATCTCGATGGGGCCCATTCTGAATGTGTTCTGGAATTGGGTTTGACGAACGTCCACGTCTGGTCTGGTGAACTCGCGACACGGCCGCGTAACGCATCTTCGCAATGTCACTTGCGTCCCCTCCCCGTCCTCGGCACCCACTGCCTGAGGACTGCGTCGGGCCGCGTAATCTAATGAATGTGAACTGCCCGCGGCCCCGTCCCCCTGGACTGCCGCCTGCTGTGGTCTCCGTGCCCTTGCCGCTGGCCCTGCTCTTGAGCTCGGCGACCTGGAAATTGTTTTTCCACAACCTGTCGGCCTCCGCGTCGAGCTGGGTTTGCCGGGCCGCGTCCTGCTGCGCCTCGATCTCGGCACCGGAGCGCTTATCAACAAGCCGGGCAGCAGCGGCGCCGGCAACGCTCTCGCCACCCGCGCCCCCTCTCCGCGGGTACTGCCGCCTCCGCCGCCATCGTGGCCCTCGGCCTTGCGCTTCCCCGCCGCCCTCTCGGGGCTGGCCCTCTTGTGCTCCTGCGCCTTGTTGGGCCGCGTCGGGATCTCCTGCTCTCTGTCCTGGAGGCGCTGCGTGACGCTGCGGAGCTGGCCGCGGGACTCTCCCAACGCTCTCTTCTCCTCAGGGGAAGCGCCCAGGGGAGTCGAGTTTGGAGACAACTCCTCGTCCCACTGCGCGCTGATCATCCCATTGTCGGCCGCTTCGGCTGTGGCGGGAGTGGCCTCGGCGTGCACGCCCTCGGCCCTCGAAAGGGCCGTGGTGGCTAGCCAATTGCCCCCCCGCGTCTGCCGAGGCACGCGTCGCTGTAGGTGTCTTCGCCTCCGCCGCTGCCAAGTTGCTGCGAAAGCGAACGACGTTGGCGACCGCCTGCTGACACAAATGTTCGGCATTACGCCATGCGCCGTCGCCGCGCCGCAAGGCTTTCACGGGGGTGGCCTGCGCCGCCGAGTCCTTGATCTCCCTCGTATTGTCGAGCT